CTGATGACGGAGGCAGTATGACCTCTGAAACGTTGGTTAACATCGACCAGACTACACAGCGCAACAACCCAGAAGGCAGAAATCTTCATACTCACCGCTGTGAAAACCTCAAATCTTACATAATCCGTATATTTTGGTATGTATTTCCAGTTACTCTTGGTATGAGTTCTACACTTACAGTTTGAAACATATAGCTGAAATATGTACAATTGCACAGTTTAAATGAATATTTGTGCAAATATAAAAAGAAAAGAAATGTGCACACTTGAACTTGTATATGGTCTTTGTAGCAATGCTAGTCTGCTACGCTACATCCCATCTACCACAAGATATAGACATCTAAGCGAAGTATAGTGTCCACCTTGATTTTGCTGTCAAACCTACTGATATGATTCAAAGAAGCTGTAATTAATGGAAAGCGGAGAATGGCCACATACAGCAAACACAACGAGACTAAGAAAGACTGGAATTATTATGCCAGCTGTATGCTTACATCATGTACAGTTTGGGACTTAGTAAACTTCATTCACTTGATTTTTGTTGCACAGAATGCACAAGTGAGGCATTCTAGGAAGCGCAGAATATGACGTAACCTTTCAGTCGACTGTCTTTCCCAAATCACAGTGTATGGGGACTCATAACAGATGAACTGTTCACTGGATGTGTGCATTTGTCACACAGTAATTACAAATGTATTTAACTTGTTGTGGTCTAAAAGACTGTTAAACCACACACAGTTTGAGCCGAAATAAAATTATCTAAAAGCACAATCAGATTAGGTAAAAGTCAGTTGCAAGAACGCTTTCCACATGCGAATAAAACAAACCTGGTTTATATGACACCCTCCGACTTCGCGAAGATGATAATCTTGGAAGAGATTCATCTGTAATTAAAGACATTTTTTGTTATCTTTATTAATTTATATGTCAAAAGTTGCAAGGAGTCTAATTTATACTACAAATATAGTGAATAACCATTTAACGTGCCTTGATTAAATGTTCAATTTCAATGTTAAAATTTCCTTTCTTTTTGTGTTCAAATCCAATTCGGCCCACAGTGGGTATTTCACCATGTCACCACTAAAGATACCACAGGAGGAATGTAATGTGGTTCAGTGGTTGGTGGCCACATTTTATTAATCACTCTTTGCATTACATAATATTATATTATTTAATTAAGCAAAGGTAAATAATGATTTCAATTTTTATATTCTGCTTTGTTAGACTTTTCAATAAAAATGGGTTTTCAAGTATTACTTTTCTGTCATTCTTGATTTTACTATATTAGGATAAGATATTGTAGATGCGTCATATTGTGATTTATTTAAATAGTATTAAAAATATATTAAAATAGGCCATCAATCACAATATAAGATAATTAAAAGATTAAAATATAATTTTACGTTCCTTATCGAGTACTCGATTTACATGTGTAACAATAACACCTGATGACGGCTATATATAGCCGAAACATGTCGTAAATGTTCCACATGTAAATCGAGTACTCGATAAGGAACGTAAAATGATATTTTAATCTTTTAATTATCTTATATTGTGATTGATGGCCTATTTTAATATATTTTTAATACTATATTAGGATAGTAAAATTCCACCATGCACTAAAGACACAGAATAAATTTGTGTATACTTGATATAATGAGAATTTTTTAAAAAAAAAACACTCATTCTTGATTAGATTAAAAAAAGACGTAAGTATAAATCCCCAAACCTACATCCTGAATTCTAATCAAGTGTAACACAACATGGCACCAAGTTTAAAAAAAATAATGTGGGAACAGCAATATCTAATCTTTTTCTGAAATAAGAGTAAAAGGACCAGGTCAAAGACTGGGTAAGAAAAAATATTTCACAAAAAACAATGAAAACAGATGCAACAGTTCTTATTAAATGATACGGTTTTTTCATAAGATTATCCTCCATCAATACACGACAAATCATGATATGCATTGTACCTGGATAACCTGGTGTTCTTCCTAATAACCTAGCACTTTTTCTTCCTGGAGGTGATCCTTTAGAGGGATTCAACTTGGAAATTTCATCTGAAAAAAAATGCATAAATCTATTACTTAATCTCAGAGTTACGGTGGGACACGTTTCTAAAAAAATTATTGCAGGGCAGCTAAACATAATGGAGATACAGCAGATCAGCCTCATTGGTGGATTTGGACACCACACTTTTGCATATTCCCAGAAAGAGTATTGCATCTCGGCACAGGTCTGTCACTCTTGCATGGTCACATAGAGTAGTACACAGCAGCCCACCTGTCTCAGTAGTCAGCAGAAAAAGAAAAGAAAAATTGACCTATCAAAATAATGACATAAACATGGACAATTCAAATTAAATGATGTCTATTTTGTAAAAGTAAAGTAAAGCTGTTCCACTATACGCCATGTAGGCGCTTGGGGGGAGTGGAGGTATAGCTCCTCTCTTCCTTGACCTCGGCACTAGATGGGGGTGAGTGGTCAGCATCACGCCCCGGTCGGCTTTACCCCCGGGAGAGGACCCCGGTACCCATTGTAGAGGAGGCTGGGTGGGCCCAGAGCCGGTCTGGACGCAGAGGCTAAAGGAAAATTTCTCTGCCCCTGTCGGGGATCGAACCCTGGTCGTCCAGCCCATAGCTAGTCACTATACTGACTGAGCTAAGTAAAATAACTGAAAAAAATTATGCTAATACAGAAAAACGTTCATTTTGGGAACATATGTGCTAGGTTCCAGCTGCAGACCAGAGTATGTACTTCATAAGTTGGTATCACTGTTGCTGAGAAGAGTTGGTGGCTGAAGGAGGGCAAGTCTGATCATAGATACTGAAACGTAGTAAGATGCAAGCAGAGAGAGAGAGAGAGAGAGGCACTTGGTCGACAAGTTTGGTTCTGATAGCCTTGCCTACAGTTATGACTGTGATGGAACAAATGGTCTGCATGCTACTGCACAAAACAAAAGCTGTTAACGCCTCAAGTGGGAGCGAAATTTATGCCATTGCATCACCAGGTGGCGCTTTTTCATTTCATTAAAAATAATGGTGACTTTTTTTATATATTATGGACAATACGTATTTATTAGGTATGGAAATCAAAATTTCCGTGTTGTTTAAATTTTTAGCTATTTTACTAACAATTTTACCACATATTTTAAACATTTATCATTTGTTTTCCCCAGCTATTTCCATTGAATTTAGTCAAGTAATTTACAGTAAATTCTTTTTAATGTCTTGTGGGACCTACTGTTCACATAGTTCAAGTAATAATTTGCAATTCCATCAAATTAGTTAAGAGAAAGTCATTATGCCAAAAACTACTGTTGTCTTGAGTGGTTGCCTATTTCTCCCCTGCCATCCAAATCTCGGTATATGCGCATATACTAAGACTTAGAGCAGCACCACCGAGTTAAATTTTTTTTCACTAGATGGCACAACACTTGACTGAGAAATAGCATGCATATACGAGCTTAGCCCACTGAGAAACAGTATTTTTTCTGAAGTGCACATATGTGCGCGCTCCCCACTGGGCAGGGCATTAACCATCTGCGCATATATACGCTTAGCCCACTTAAGGGGTTAACCTAAATATTCTCAAAGCTGGAGACTACAAAATTAAAGATATGTTTCTATCAATTCAACCTTGAAAAATCAAGACTTGCACATGACTATGTTTAATCCTTTCCATGTCGGTTTGCATTTATATTTAATTTTAATAAAAGACAGTCAGTATGATAACGCCCCTTTTCCAACACAAAGCTGCAGCGCAGTTTCCAAATGCTAATATCAGTGAGTAAAAGTAAAGTAAATGTAAAGTTGTAAGATTTGAGGTTTTCACAGCGGTGAGTATGAAGATTTCTGTCTTCTGGGTTGTTGCGCTGTGTAGTCTGGTCGATGTTAACCAACGTTTCAGAGGTCATACTGCCTCCGTCATCAGGGAGATGAATATGCCAATAGGATTTGTGGGGCTATGTTTATAGGGCCGGAATGTGGAAGGTGTAGCCTGCCCCGAGCCAATGGGAGCAGGCGTGGGAGTGGACCCACTATACGCCATGTAGGCGCTTGGGGGAGGCGGTATAGCTCCTACTCATTCCTAATCTCTGCACTAGATGGGGGTGAGTGATCAGCATCACGCCTAGGCTGCGCATTACCCCGTGGGAAAGGACCCTGGTACCCATTAGATAGAAGGCTCAGTGGGCCCCAGAACTGGTCTTGACGCAGAGGCCAGAGAAAAAATCCCCTGCCCTCACCAGGGATCGTACCCCAGTTGTCAAGTCTGTAGCCAGTCACTATACTGACTCAGCTAGCCCAGCTCAATATCAGTGAGTTGGTTACTGTATTCAAGCTAACTATATAAGAAAAAGTAGTTTCAGCTTTGAAGTACAAATAAACCAGACCAACAAGTATTCTGACAAATGGAGGTAAACTATACCATATGACATACCTATACAAGGTCTTAATGGTCTACCTGAAAACCTACTCCTCCTATATACTGTTGATGTCAGTGAAGGGCTCAGTAGAGACAACTTATCTGGAAAGAAAGAGAAATTTGTTGCTTAAATAAACTTCAAAAAGAGCAGAAATTATAATATGCAGGTGTTTGGAATTAGCATTTAGAGTCGTGTACTATGATGCGATCTTTAAAGCAACGAACTGAAGATAAAGAATGTCAGACTTTAACGTTCCACTAAAGTTAAAAACAATGGTCCATAGGCAAACTCTCGACACATTACAGTTTATTAAAAGTAATCATATCAAGGGTTCTTGACAGTAATTAAAGTTTTATGCATAGTCAATGCAATGATGCTACATACAGCAATATTTTCTTTTGTAAGAAGAATGCTATTTTGTAATTTTCAACATAAGGAGCATCTTCAGTTACTTCCCACAGTCACATAAATATATCCACCAATGTTGCATAGTCACAATTTCATTATTTTCACATATAAATTCTCATAGTTTTCCCATATTGCATAAAATTACAACTGGCATATGTGGCATAGCAGCTACTGCCACTCTGAATTAGCCATGTCCCACTGACAACACAGTATATTACCAGTGGTCAGTATCAAACGAAAGTATCGATCAGTCTACAGTTACCAACTACTGTGTCATTCAGTTGTGTAAGAGAATTTTTGTTTCACTTGGTTTCTGGAAGTAAATTAAAATATTTACACATTTGTGATCAGCCATGTAGAAGTGGTTCACCAGATGAGATACTGTCAATTTATTTGGCGCGGGAGAATCGGAAAATGTATCCCTAAAATCATCGTGGCAAGTTAAGAAAGAACATGAAGCCTGGTAGTGCTTGACATTGAACACCCATTGTACTTGTGAAAAAGACGTCCTTACAAATTCACCTGTTGAGAGACAAATGATGGACTGGCACAAGCAGGTTACACCATAACGTGCCCTGCGTGGGCTTTTCTATAGTCACAGCGATATTGTATGTTCATAAATCTAATTGAATTATACTGAATTGCATCAATCAAATATTTTATTATGGGATGCATGAATTTTTTATCATTCTGTATAACTGAATGGTAGAGCAACGATCTCATATCTGGAAATCTCAAGTTTGTAATGGTTTCTTAAATACTTTTGCACAAATGAAAGGAAGAACAAGACAAATAAATCAGTTCCACAGTACCTCTGTTGTGGCTTGCTAGTCTTATTGACAACCTCTCACTTCTCCGCACCATTGTCGCAATGGAAGGACTGCAAACATGTTGATCTGGACAAAATAAAAAAAGGCTGTGGTATTAGTAGACCCAGAACAGTGGAGAGGAGAAGTAAAGCCAACAGTCCCATGTCGTAGATTTACGGCATGTAAAAGAAGCTTACGAGCATGAACAAGATGTTTCGTATGCAAAATTCAGCGGCCATTCCTCACCCAAATCTCTCCTGATTCACTACTAGATGGGTCTAGCAGACAAATCAAGTTTAAGTAGAAATTGTGCAGAGGCAGTGGGCTTGTCACTCACAAATGCACACTTCAAAGAAAAGGAAACCTCCCACAAGGGAGGAGGTCAAGGCCCAAATGTGGGCTGTTGCGCCATTGGATGGATGGATTACAGAGAGCAAACTCATTGGCACTATAAATACCTTACCTAACTTACTTTTCCTTCATCATCAGGGTTGATGTTACAAGTCCCATGACTGTCCACCCTATGTATAGCCACGTTAGCTCTTAAAGATTGGTGATAACTGAGACAAGATGCAATGAGGATTTATGGGGCATATACCCATACCAAAAGAACAAGTGAGCAGATGCAGAATGCAGACTGGGCATTGTATCAACTTCAAGGATACCAAAAGTATTGCTTACAACTGCAGACTGCATGGGTTTATTAGTGAAAGAGGCCAGTGAGCTCTGGATACATCTTGACGACTAAAATAGAGACATGGGAGTCAAACCCAGCTACCAATATTTTCCATCAAAGGAGATCCTTGAAAATATGGAAAGAAGGAAAGCAGAAACAATGACAACTTGCATCCTGGACTCTACAAGTTTTAAGCAGCATCGACTATATGTGGATAAGAATTCTGGGCTCTGTGGTTGTAAATACACAGACAGTCAAGTCACTCATCCAACCAAAATCCTTTTCACAAAGGGCAAGTTGCCTGACGGGATAACCTCTCATCAGCAGCAACAGACCCTAGTTTTAAAGTCAAGGATTTCCACGACAAAATCCCCGTTGGCATAAGCATGCCCCCATTTTAGTTTTAAAGCACTGTTTACTATTTCCATTTCATACGCAGGAATGGTATAACCTAGCAAGGGACGATGTCTTCCGCTTGCACAGGACTTTGTCCTTAGTTGGCTTCACTCATCACATCAACCCTGATGATGGAGAGAAGTGTCCAAGACATTGGAAACATAATTCTCACAAAGCCGATCACCCGAGAAAACTTCATCAATTCAGCCACCACGAAAGTTTAAAATCTTATGTAACACGCCCATCATGGTCACTTTGTTAAAGATTATTACCTTGTGGGGTACTGATACATCCAATGGGTCCAGCTCTATGTTGGTTGGCAATTCGAATAGATCTTCGACTTGGTTTCTTAAAAAGATCTTGCTTCATCAATCTACTGACTCTTTTCACAGTCTGCTGCTGTTGTGTGTGAGAAATTGTGCATTCTCCAACAGAGCCAGCGCAATGAGACCTTGGCGTTTCATCAGGTAAACATTGCTTAAAAAGAAAAAGACCTATAACAAAATTTCCATATTCTGTGGAAAACAGAATACTGAAAGTTTTTAAATCACTGGCAAATTAATAATGAGATAGTTCATGTACTGACTACTTACCACATTTCAAACATTAGATTCAAGAATAAAAATTTGATAAATAGCAGTGCTTTATTTTTGTAAACATAATCACAACGTGTTTGGAAAATGTTTTATTTATAAATTTACAGAAATAAAGAGAAAACTCAACATTGCTCACGGGTGACACAGACTATCAAGGTAAATAAGCAGCATTTCTTTCAGTCTTCACATGCAAATAACAGAATAGTAACTACTTAAAAAATTGGAAGATTTTGTACACATGACAAACCTTTGGGGTCTATGACAGCAGAAAGTCTCTTGACCAAGCATCTATAATTTTTTTTAAAATCCTATACGATGGAGTTACATATACAAGGGGAACGCAATATCGTTTGCATTTATTGGACCATGAAAAATAGTATGTGTAATAACACAATACTGGAGATTCACTGTATTCCCATTTGTTACTTAGCTGGATGGTTTGGACGCTTCCCCTCCCATAATACTACAAACTTCAATGAGCAGAAGACGCCACTGTCCAGGCAAGAGCTCACATTTATAGCCTAAGAGGGTAAGAGCAATTATGTGTTTACAAACGATACAAAATCACACATACGTAAAGCAGAGTGACTTTTGTAGGATTTGAGGTTTTCACAGCGATGAGTCTGAAGATGGCTGTCTTCTGGGTTGTTGTGCTGTGTAGTCTGGTCGATGTTAACCAACGTTTCAGAGGTCCTTGCTGCCTCCATCACCAGGGCGATGAGTACAAGAACATCTGAAATGTCCGTAAACTTCTAGCAGACTACAGAGCACAACAACCCAGAAAACAGACATGATCAGAGCAACTTTTATTATTACTACGAACCCCAGAATACTGGTAAGACGCATTACAGCAAAATACATGTAAAAGGCAAAACATGCAAACTAATATTGTTATAGGGAAAATTCAATGCAGTATCCTGCATCAACTAAAGGTGTGCAAGTACCTAAATGCGCGATGTGTAGGCCGAGAGAGGGGAGTTAAGTAGTAGTGGGGGATGCACAGCCTCAGCTGCGGTGACGTCCCAGTCTAAACACAGCTAGAGCTACAAACCAACTGAAGCTGACACCCCCTCTAGCGCGTGCTTCGGACGAGTCCATCTCATACGACCAAAATCAGTCCTTTGCGCTTCTCGCTCGACCCATAGAATTCATTTCTACACAATTCTGTAACTTACCACCTTGTGATGAACATTCTCTTGCTGGGATGTTGTAACAGTGCCCGGAGCTGTCTGACATGAGTGCAGCGCAATTTGATCGTGAACATATGCCTTCAGTTCATCCGCAAACATTTTCAGGTCATTCCTGAAACGTATTTTAATGTTAAAGAGGAACATGAATCAAAACACATTTCCTTCTTGTTCAGTTAGAATGCTTAAATAACATTCATTTTTCAACTAATGAAATTATTAAAAGTTAGTGACAAATTTTGTGAAGTAGTACTTCTGAATCCTGAGTATTGTTATCTGTTGTTAACTCACAAATGCTCATTGTAAACTAATGTGGTTCATCTGATGTTCAATATTAGTCTCTAAAGCAATGACTTAAAGAAAACATTAATAAATATGGAGTAATATAGAAAACAAAATGATGGAAGTAAATAAATAGTAGAATGTATTAGTAAAACAAATTAAATTAATTTAATAAAATAAAACATACCGGTGATGCGGAACGTGAAATAATATTTTAAATATTTTGTATTTTATTATCTTATTAAAAATTGTGATTTGACAGAAATATTAAAATATTAATGCTTTTATATTTCTTTAGGGTAAAATACCTAGCAGGTCCCAGGTTCAAATCTTAGCCTGGGGACCAGTAAACCTGACTGAAGTTTTTTCATGGGTTTACTCAGTCCCTCCATGCAAATAGTACCTTAAATTATGCCATAACTGCTTCCTTCCGTATCTTTATCAATTCACTACTTACTGCCATCCTCTCATCTGACATTATATAGTCCAGATATTGAAAGTGTTGTTGAATAAATATATTTAAACTTGTAACAATACTAAAATCATCGTCTGTAAAACCTTGCCTGCAGTGTACACAATTTCTTCAATGATAATATTTAAAATATTCAGTTCTCTCTGATGTTTTGAATTCTGTCGGTGATCCAGTCTTGTAAGACACATGTAAATATTGACCTTGTATAATTGAATAAAAATATATAAACATCAAGGAGGTAAAGCTTCATGTATTCTGTACCTTGGATCTAAATGCAGTCAGTCAGCCTTACTCCACTGGTGACTTCGCTCGTAATGGAACCCTGGCTGTTCAGCCCAAATTGACTGGCCTTTAAAAATAAGTTTACTTACCTCAGCATGAACCTTGACTGTTGGACAGCTGATTGGACTTCCACAATAGTCCTGTCCAATGTCTGCTGCATTGGAGTACTAGACTGGTTCAAATGATTTCCATCACGGACTGATGGTCCGTGCACTCCCGTGTATAAACTGGTCCCTACAGTATCATCCAATCGCTGTTCCATTTGTCTCGTGTCTTTCTTGATAAGCGGGCTGAGAAAAAATAATTGAAACAAGTCAGAAAATTAAAACAGTTTTAAGCTGGGTTAGGCAATGGGCATGAGTCATTACCTCAAAGCAGAAGACGTATCCAGGGCAGTAGATGTAGACATTTCGGACAGAAAAGACGCTGAAGAGCTACAATGACTCCCATCCAATCTATTTGAAAAAGGTTTCTTGAAACAATCTTGCATGTCAGCAGAACTAAAATGAATTAAATATAACACCATGTTCAATGTCAAATAATGCACATAGGAATTAAAATTATGGGATCATTTTATTCTTTTATGTAAATGTTAAAAATGTTGTATACCACCACATAATTCATATACCTTATTTCCACAAAAAAAAATTCCTTGATGTGTAATTTACATAATAATCTATGAACACAGTCTGAGATGGAAAATATCATTCTATATGAACCTATCTGTAAATGTTAAATATTTTATTTAAAAAAAAGAAATGAAACATGAGAACAAGCGCACACATCCTGCTCAACATACGTTCATTTTACGCACTCTGAGCAAAGAGAACTGAAAATAAAAAAAAATATATCTACCTGAAACTGCTCACATTTGAAGTGTTGAGAGGTGTAAATGGCTTTCTGACACGTGGCACTGGAGTACTCTTCCCCTTATATTTATTCCAAGCTACGGGAGTAGGTGCCATATCAGTTAAGCGTTTAAATGCTTCTGGGTTAGATGTCTGCATTTGCAAAAAAATAAAGTTCATGTGTAAAATTTTCATGTTGTTCTTAAGTTACAGTAGAGTTGGTTTCACTTGGGTTTTAAGTTTGGAAAAAAAAATATAACTACTGTTCACCTGTTCTGAGAAGAACTTTCCTTAAAATCTTTGCAACTGATACGAGGCTCGTCCACAAAGTAAGTTTCCCTGGGGCCGTTTACAGAAACAAAACACAATTTCATGGAAATATTTATTGCAACAGATACAGCAAGTGTCCAGCTATTTTTCAACATATTCGCCACCGGAATTGAGACATTGGTCATACCGTGGGACCAACTTTTGAATACCTGGG